GAGCGCCAGTCCTCCTTTGCCGCTCCCTCCCCGCGGGACCGTCCCGTGCTGCTTTGCCTTTTGTTCTTTCTTTTTCCTTTTCTCCTACCAGATTTTTGGCGTCTTTATCTTTTGAAGAGGGCGATGTTCTGTTGGAGTTCCGCAGGTGCTCTGGTTGGCTGAGTCGGTCTGTAGATGTGGGTCTTGGTGTATTTGTGGGAGAGGGTGACTTACAAGCGTCCTTCTACTCCGCCATCTTGCCCGGAAGTCACATGTGGCCTTTATTAGGTACATTCCTTCTATATGTCGAACTTGAGAGATTTTACCATGAGTGGTGTTGAAATATGTCAGATTTTTTCTTCATCTATTGAGATTTTTATCCTTAATGTTGTCAATGGGGCATATCACATTCATTGATTTCCTTGCATCTCAGGGATAAATTGCATTTGATCATGGTGTATAATCCTTTGGATGTTCTCTTGAATTCTATTTGCTAGTATTTGGTTAAGAATGTCTGTGTTTGTCTGTCAAGGACTGGCCTGTTGTCTTTCTTGTGCTGCTGTTGTCTGGTCTGGCATCTGAGATGTGGGTGTGTGCAGTTCTCCTGCGGAAATGAGGCCTAGGTCAACAGCACGGGCTGTGGGGTGACAGGGTGGTGGTGATGGCTTGGGCCCCACGAGCAGGTGCAGTAGCAGCGTGACCTGGGGATGGTGGGTCAAGGTCACAGCTCTGGCAGTCACAGAGCAGCAGCAGGGCATCTAGGTGATGACCCATTCGAGCCAGAACGTGGAGTGCAGAGCAGCAGGAGCTTGGCCTCGTAATGGCCCTGGGGTGGGTCTCAGAGCAGCGGCAGCCCCTCTGGTTTCACAGGTGGAGAGGCGCTATGTGTTCTCAACCTCAGAGAATGGGACATGCCAGCAGGTGGGTCCTGGGGGCAGGTCTTCAGCACAGGGACAGGGACAGCACCTGCCCTGGGGAGTGATGGGGGAGGGGGATGGTAAGAGGGACTCCAGGCAGCCTGGTCAGCTCAGGACGAGCCTCGGTGCAGCTGTGGGGGTCTCCCATGGCGGTGAGGCTGCTGGGGACCTCTCCTTTCCCCACAGGGGCCACCTTGGGCTGGAGGACGAGCTGACTCAGGGGAAGTGCTTCCTACACTTCCTAGTGCAGCCACCCTTGGATTCTGAGCGCCTCCGAGTCTCTGCTGCTTTTCTTTGAGTGGAGCTCCCTGGGGCTGTTCTCATTGGTTTGTTGTGCCGGTTGCTTCCACGTGGGAGGCGAGCACGGGGCTCCTGGCCCTCCGCCTTTATTGTTGTGTATTCAAAGAAATCATGCATTATTTTTACTCCTTTATTTTTCAAAGCATAATAATAAATCTCGAAAATCTTTCCGGATCAGCACATCCAAAGCAGCCTAATTCCTTTCCAGTCCTTTGTATTTGTGCATTTCAACGTTTGTGTAACTGGGCCTTTGTGTAACTGGCACTTTGCTGGTTTCCAGTTTGCAATCTGGTTACAGTGTCGCAGCAAACGTCCCTGGTGTCGACAGCCATGTGTCGTCCACTCTGGACCCCATGAGCTCACAGAGGAGTCCTCTCCTCAGAAGAGCTGCGCGGATTTCTTTTGATACCTTTCTTTTGCAGCTCAGAAATTGATTTTCATTTAAAACTTTTTTTTTGAAGAACTGTAGATATATTATGCATGTACATTTTATGTATTCTAAAAAACGAAATTCTAGTGAATTTGAACCTTTTAAATTCCTCTGCCAGTGCTTCTCAAGGTGTGGTCTCTGGACTAGCAGCTTGGGCATTAATTGGAAACCTATTAGAAATACACATTTGTGGACCCCATCTCAGATCTACTGAAACAGAAGCTGTATGTTGGTTCAAGCCCACTAACCGGCCTTAACAAGCTCTCCGGGTACTGTGATGTGAACCGTTTCTGTGCAAACAGGGAGTCAGACCTAAGTACTCCTTTTCCATTTCTATTGTTAATACTCATATTTGACAGTGTTTTTCATATAAAGATTGTGTCAACTATAATGAAATTAAACTTTTGTGGCATTTTTTAAATTGCGGTATAGTTGATTTACAACGTGTTAGTTTGAGGTGTACAGCAAAGTAATTCAGTTATACACACTTAAAATAACCTATAATGGAAAAGAACCTTAAACAGAATACATGAATACATGTATGTAGGATATTGAATCTAGTTCCCTGTGCTGTGCAGTAGGTCCTTGCTGTTCATCTATTTTATATACAGTAGTGTGTGTCTGTTAATCCCGAGCTCCTGATTTATACCCATGGCCCCACTTTCCCCTTTGGTCACCATAAGTTTGATAAAACTACTTTTTTTAATCCCACAATAACTTTCCTTTAAAGTGCCACGTACAGCTGCCCAAAAACCTCTACCCCGCCCACACTTCTGAGGATAAATAAACAACGAGCAGATTTGTGGAGACAGTAGTGAAACTGCGGGAGTGGAAGCCTTACGAAAACAACATGGCCTGGAGCCCACGGTGCGTCCTGAACGGCAGCGGGAGGTGCCGCTGCCCATGGAGTGCTCTGATCGGTAGCAGGTGAGTTTGAATGTTTGAACTGCTTTTCCTTTTTTCTAATTTTGAAAGTATCACAGTCGTCTTTTGTTAGGGGAGAGTGTAGGTTTATTGATATTTTTAATTAAGACGCTGAGGATGGAACCCAGGACTGCATGCATGCTAAGCACGTGCTCTACCACTGCGCGCCACTGTACCCTCCTCCCTACAGCTGTTTTCTAAATTTCAAACGATGAAAATACTCCCGATTCAAGATGGTACTGTTCAAACACTGCACGACCAACGTCAAAAAGGAAAGGAAGGAAACATAAATGCCTCGTGACAGGAACCTCACTGACACGTGAGAGCAAGTCTGAAGGGGTGCAAACACAAGTGATGGGAGTGGTAACTGTGAGTCTTGCCTATCAGTGTTAACAGCACAGTTACTAACATCAGTCTTACAATTGTAATAAATATACGTTACATATTTTATTAATATGAAAATCAGCATTATTGGTAATGTTCATAATGATAAAGGTGTTTCTAACCACAGTTGGACTGTGCTCTGGAAAGCGTAAGTAGCATTAGATGGGACTGCCTTAAATCCAGTTTGGGTTATTACTGACACAGGCATTTTAAACTTACATAGAATCCTTTTGTACCTTGAATGTTACGTTGCCGCAGCAGGAATTAGAGCAATGAACAATACTAACCTAAGTATTTCGGAGTTCTGTTGTGTATCAACATTGAATAAGGAAATACTGGATTTCTACAAAGACAATATAATATAAAGTAGAATAAAATGAATGAAATAGTGGTTATCCCCTATAATCTCTCACTATACAGATATTTATACTTTACACAGCAGTAAAAATATGTACAACATACATAAAAAGAAATCATGAATTGAGCATGAAGTATCAGTCAAGAAAATAAACAGTAATCCTTCCCTGATGACATTATTTTCTGAAGCTTCCAAAGATCCCAGAGATTATATAAAAATGAAATGTATTAATAACTTTTGTCAAGGTTTTGGAGAGAACATACGCAGGAAAGAGAATTGTGGCTAAGTTGCCACTACCTGGATTGTGAGCAATGTAAATTTTATGCTTCTTTGTGGAATCACTTTTCCCACATGAGTTTTAGTTCGGCACGGCAGCCCGCCCCCATCAGTGCCGCGTCTGTCTGCTTCTGTGCACTGTCCAGATGACACTGGGTAGAATTTATGTTATGTGATAATCTGATTAAATGAGCTAATGTGTGTGCTACAGCAGTGCTGACTTTCAAGCCTGTCCACAAAGTGAGACCCCCCTGGGGTGCTCTAAAGACCACGCGCTCTCGGCCCCAGTTAAAGCAGACTCTAGAGGTCACTTGGACATGCAGCCCGTGTGGACATCACTATGCTTCTACTTGATGTTTTAAGGGAAGTCAACTAATACCTCAGCCCATATACAAATGGTTGCGGCTGATTTTTTTATTTTTTTAATCTGAATCTTAAAGCCACTGGCAGAGGGGGGCCCAAAAAATAGACAGTCTGTCTTGGCTTCACGTTGATGTTCCTCCCAGACACCTCTTCCCGGGCAACCACAGCCCGCTCCCCAAGACTCCCTTGTGGTAACGGACGTGTTCTGTACCTGGGCCCTCCAGGACGGGTGCTGTGAGCCACCCACAGCTACTGAGCTCTTGAAATGTGGCTGGTAGGGCTGAGAATCTAGAGGTTAAGTTTTTTTATTTAATTTTACTTTGCTGAAATCTAAGTAGCTGGCAGACTTGCGGCTCCTACGATGGAGAGACAGCACACAGCTCGAGGACTGCCAGTGATCTGAGAGCCTGACAGTCAGGGCTGGGGAGGGCAGGGGGCTGTTCAGCAACCTCCCTGCTGATCAGCGCCAGGTGCAGCTGCGTGCAGCTCCCGGAGAGGTAGGAACTGGAGTGGGATTTCAGCGGAGCTGCTGGAGAAGGGGGGGGGGTGCTTTTCTTAGGACGGCAGGGCGGCCCTCAGTAGCGGGCAGGAGACCTCAGCCTCGACCAGGGACTCTGAGCAGCTTGCATTAGTCCAGGATTAATGGGCAAAAGTGAGTAGGATCTTTGGAAGGCATGGCTGCCATCAACGATCAGGCAGGCCAGACAGAGATCACATTGATGCTTCAAGTAAACTGAAAAAGCTCCAGACCGTGTGTATCCCTTTCATCTCTTGAATACCTTTGTGCTCTGGCTGTTCTAAAGGCAGTGAGATGCAGAAGACAGACCTGGACTGCCTCAGCCAGAGGGTTCTGAGAGGCCCACTCTGGTGTGTAAATTAGAGTATCATCTTTATAAACAAGCTCTGTGCAGAAGCTAGAAGAAAAATTTTTTGTTCATAAAAATTACAGGCTCACTGACACTGTCAAGGCCCACTCAGGTGGCAGGAGTGCCTGCAGCACGCCATTTTCTGTCTGTCGCCATCTCTAATCAGCAGCTGATGTCCCGAATACTCAGTTCCAAAGTCTCTCATAGAGCTGGTCCAGGGGAGCTGAGACCCAGCAGGAGCAGAGGGTAATCTAAGTGCAGCCGTTTGACACCTTAGTATTAATGAGAGGAAAACATCTTCCCAGAAGAACAGGAGGCTTGACTTTGGGGAGGGTTAGGGAGCGCACTTCCCCTGCCATGTGTTGGCGGCTACCTTTGTGTGCAGGGCCCTGGTGTCCGGTGCTGAGGGTGAGCGTGTTCTCTGGGAGGTCCGCCAGCACCAGCAGATATCACAGTGAGTCAGGGGGCGGGGGCGACGTGCACTTTCTGATCAGAAAACAGTTCTCAGTATGCTGTGCCCTTCTCTGGGGCGGTGAGCGCTGCACTGGTAAAATCTCTAAATAGTATTTTGAAAAATGCCATGTACTGTGAAATATAGTCTAACGATGAGAAATGCACAAAACTTGAGTTTTAGAAATGCTTATGTGTATATCAGAGGCTGAATTAAGTGAAAAATCCGGTAACTGTTTATTTTCAGAACTCTTCTTTACTGTCTGGAACAAACGAGGAACTCGAAGATCAAAGCCTCTGTGTTGCCAATGGTAAGAAAGGACTCTGTGCTGAAGTCCTCCTGGCTTCTGTTCACTAATGTCCCAGCAGTGCCTCTGCTGTGAAAGCAATTAAACGAAACGTGTGCTCCGCATGTTCTGATACTGTCATGGTTATTTAAGGGTCAGTTATTTGCAGAGCCGTTCTTTATGACACTGTGTAAAGCCGCCTCCATACATTTACACGTCCAGGTAGAGAAACTGAATTCAGAAAAGAACTTGCTTTTGTTTCCTTGTTTAATATTAAAACTGAAATTCACTGAAGAGATCAAAGCCTTTAGTATTTATATAATATTTACTAAACCTAGTGAGACTTACAAATCATACTAGTAACTCTAGCTGAACTATAAGAGATTATTTATAAACTCAAAGAACTTATTCCATGTGAGAGTGTTATTAATACCAAGTTTCACTGATACTGGTGTTAAAGGGACACTGAAAAGAATGGGAGGAAAAAACTTGTAAATACTGGCTGAGTTTTAATAGCCTGGTGTCTTTGTTGTTTTGTTTTATATTTTTGGCCCTGAGATTGGTGAATTTTCATTCCTGTTTTTATCTAATCATGTGCTTCTTTTTATGTGAAGCTTTATTTATTATATTTTTACCAGCTTCTAATATTTCTAAATAGTATTATTAAATATTTTGGTTCCTTATCTGTTTGAAAACCCAAATGAAATAAAACTAAATAATGCTCTTATGTATTTAGATTTTTCCCAGTATCCAGAATTACTGCAGCATTTCAAACCATGCTTATTATCACTATTGCGTTAGTGAAAACAGTGTCAGGAGGTATTTAAAGTTCTACAGTTAAGGATTTAATCTCTTGGCTCAAGAAATGAAAGAGGAATTACAACCAATACCACAGAAATGCAAAAAACCCTAGGAAAATGCCGTGAACTAGAAGCATAAAGCACACCAAAACTGAATCAAGAAGAAATACATAATTTGAACAGACAGATCAGCAGAAGTGAAATAGAATCTGTGATTTAAAAAACTCCCTGCAAACCAAAGTCCAGGACCAGAAGGCTTCCACTGGGGAATTCTAGCAAACATACAAAAGAAGAGCTCAAATCAACCCTTCACAAACTCTTCCAAAAGACTAAAGGGGGGGGGGATACAGCTCAGTGGTAGAGCTCATGCCTCGCATGCACGAGGTCCTGGGTTCAATCTCCAGTACTGCCATTACATAAATAACCTAATTACCTTCCCCCACTAAAAATAAAAGACTGAAGAGGAGGGAACACTCTCAAACTCATTCTGTGAAGCCACCATCACCCTGACACCAAAACCAAACACACTACTAAAAAAAATTACAGGCCAATATCACTGATGAACACAGATGCAAAAGTCCTCAACGAAATATTAGCATACAGTATCCAACAGCACATAAAAAAAGATCATACACCATCATCAAGTCAGATTCACACAAGGATGGTTCAACAGACACAAGTCAATCAACGTGATACCACATCAATGAGGGAATGGACAAAAATCACGATCATCTCAACAGATGCCAAAAAAAAGGCATTTGATAAAATGCAACATCTACTCATGATTAAAAAAAAACCAAAAAACTCTTTTACCAAAGGGGTTATAGAGGGAACATAGCTCAACATAATAAAAGCTACTTAGGACAAACCCACAGCCAGCATAGTACTCAACAAAATGGCCATACTGCCCACCCAAGGCAACTACAGATTTCGTGCAGTCCCTATCAACGCACCCAGGACGTTTTTCTCAGCACTAGAACAAATCCTAATATTTATATTATATATATTTTTTCATTGTCCGTTACAGCCAAGGATGTTATTTAATTTCTGAACGCAATCAATGTAAAAATGACTAATGACATAGTTTATATTCCCTTTCTGGTATTGAGCTCCCAAAACCCATCTTGTGCTTCTCACTTACAGCACAGCCTTACTTTCTAAGGGGAATTGTATCCAATATACCTACTCCATATTTAGATTTTTGTAAGATTCACAGCTGTAAAATGCGATTCACATGTCTCAATTGTTCCAAACATACTTAACCATTTTCCACTTAAAGATCCTGTCAGGTGAATAATGAGAAGTTCCATGTTTGGCCTAGTAACAAAGTGGTGATTGTGCCCTTACCAGGTGGAAACCCCCAAACAATGGTGAAGTCCGACGGAAGGGTGGGGAGGTCTGAGGAGGTTGGAGGTGAGATGACAGAGACACACAATCAAATGACCTTTCTCAGTGGTTCACAACTCAGGAGTGGAAGAATGGTGGCTGAGAGCCCCAGGAACATGAGGTGACAGGTTTCTGTGGAGTTTGGAGAGATCTGAAGGTATTTAAATGCTGATGGAAAGATTCAGTAGAAAAGGAGAGGTTGAAAATACCGAGGTTTTGTGTCAGGATCATGAATTTACTAAGAAGGATGAAGGGATGAGGACCAGATCACCACTGGAGGAGAAAGAAAAGAAGTTTGTGTCAATATAATCAGAAGAAATTTGGGAACAATGGAATCTTAGAGATATTTGCAGATCTCGCAACTACTGGGGTAAAATTTCCACCTAGTAGTTAGCAGCTTCTCTGTGAGATACCCGACAAGTTAAGGAACAGGATGTGTGTGTGAAGGAAAAAGGAAATTGGAGAACACCTGAAACAGACTTTGGAAAAAAATAAGAAAGTAAACATGCCAGCACATACAAAGAAAGTTAAACTTCCAGGCATTGTGGATGCTTTCCAGTAGATGCAGATGATTTTGGATTTCCCATGGTGAAGACTTTGCAGAGGAAGTATCGTGACTGGGGAAAACAGTTCCAACCGAAGCCAGGTTTAAACATCTCCATCCCTTTGAGGATGTCCACTTACATATTCAAGAGACCACTTACTAGAATCACATCCCACCCTGGCAATGAGGTCAGATGCTGTCATGAGGAGGAAACACTGGACACCCCCCAGCAGCTGTGCTGGCAGAGGAGACTGCAAGGACTCCAGGCGTGCAGCAGCACAGGAGAACCATTGAGTCCTCTGGATCTTGCCAAAGCCTTGCAAAAACTTGTACCAAGAGGCACTGGTGAATCCCTGCCAGGGGTGCACACAGGCGGTCCCAACCCCAGCCCCACTCCTGCCCAGTGTTCAGATTTGTCAGAGATGACTCCAGGAGCTGGTCTGGGCATCCCGCAGCTCCTCTGCAGACAGTGTCTGGTCACTGAGGAGGAGATCAGTGATCAGGAAAGGAAAGTGAAGACAGCAAGAGAGAGACTGGCAATAGCACTGACTGCAGACAGACTGGCAAGCAAGGCAGAGAGAATGAGGGGCCAAGAAGGACGTCCTGACAAACACCACAACAAGGAGAGATGATGGTGCCAATGAAATTCCGCATGGCGCTTTATTCATGTCTCTTTGCAGCGTTCTTGCTTTGAGTTTGTGAAACTTTAAGATATGCTAATAAAAAAATTTAAACAACAACTATACTTTAAAAGAGAAAAAAAAGGTATACTAATACTTTCCTTTATTGTAAACTCATTTATGTAACATAGAAAACAAAGACAGGGCTTTCTGGGGTAAGAAATTGAGTTTCAGGCGGGGAGAGAAAGATGATCTTACCTCTGTGTTGTTGTTTCATTTCTGTTCAATTAGTATGTTATTTATCTGTGTTTTAAAGTTAACAGTTACCAAAGTCATGGGATTGATCAGGTTGTGGCCCTCACAGTTACAGAGCACCAGCTACCTAGTCAGAATGGGTTATTCGTTTGAGGTGATATTCCGCAATAGATCCCAAAACATTTCAATGGGTTTGAACGGATTTTATATCTGTGTTCTCAAGTAAGATATCTATTTCTATTTTTCTGGGGTTTGTTGCATGTAATGAAAGGCCAGACTTTCCCTTTTTTCGTAGATCTGTATGTGTTTGAAGTTTGATTCATGAAAATCGACATGCCACTGGGGGGACCCATGCTACCGAGAGAGACTATTTGCAGCATCATTAATCTAACAAGAAGCCTGAGCTTGGTTGTATCCATTTGTCTATTTGCCTGGTCACGTGGGTTGTTCTAGTCAGATTCTCTTCATCATTACTTACTTTTGCCTGATGGATTTATCAGTTTCTTGGAGAGATGTGTTAAAAAAAAATAAGACTATATGTATATCTTCTTCCCTAAACCGAGTTATATTAAAATGGAATCTTCTTGGGGAGGGAGGGCATAGCTCAAGTGGTAGAGTGCTTGCTTAGTGTGCATGAAGTCCTGGGTTCAATCCCCAGAACTTCCATTAAAAAACAAACAAACAAACCTAGTGACCTCACCCCCCCAAAATTTTAAAATACATAAAACAATAAAAAATAAAATAAAATTGTATCTTCTCTACCATGTGGTAATCATCCAGAACTTTAGTTAGAATGTCTTTTTACCATTTGCAGCAACACAGATGCTCCTGAAGAATGTCATTCTAAGCGAAGTAAGCCAGAAAGAGAAAGAAAAATACCATATGAAATCGCTCGTATGTGGAATCTAAAAGAAAAAAAAACACAAAGCACAAATACAAAACAGAAATAGACTCATAGACATAGAATACAAACTTGTGGTTGCCAAGGGGGCAGAGGGTGGGAAGGGATAGACTGGGATTTCAAAATTGTAGAATAGATAAACAAGATTATACTGTATAGCACAGGGAAATATATACAAGATCTTATGGTAGCTCCCGGAGGAAAAAAATGTGACAATGAATATATGTTCATGTATAACTGAAAAATTGTGCTCTACACTGGAATTTGATACAACATTGTAAAATGATTATAAATCAATAAAAAATGTTAAAAAAGAATGTATTTTAACGTCTTGTTTTAAAACCAATCATTATTTAGCCACACTGATTTTTTTTCTTTTCCTCATGACTCCTTTTATGTTTTGGGGGCTTCACATCGCTTCCTCATGATGTGCATTCTTTACTGGTTCACTTCACGTGGGCCAGGAGCACAGACAGCCTTTCAGAACTCCCCAGACGTGGAGACTGAAGGAACGTTCACAGGCAGACCAAAACCCCAGGAATGTGGGAGTCTTTATCTTAATTTTTCTTCTTTTTAGGTTTTACTTCCATTTTGTTTTTATTTTTACTTCCAGTTTTATTGAGATATAATTGACAAGCAGCACCATGTAAGTTTAAGGTGTGCAGCACAACGATTTGACTTATGAAGTGATGACCACAGTCAGTTTAGTGAACATCTGTCATCTCACCTAGGTGCAACATTAAACAGGAAAAAAAAAACTGTCCTTGTGTTGAGAACTCGATCTACTCTCTTAACAACTTTCATACCTAACATGCAGTATGTTAATTCTCTTTACCATGTCGCACACCCCTAGTACTTATTTATCTGAGAACCAGAAGTTTGTATCTTTTGACCGCCTTCATCCAATTCCCCTTCCTCCCATTCCTGACTGTAGCAACCACAAATCTGATCTCTTTTTCAATGAGTTTCTGCGTTTGCTTGTTTGTTTCTCAAGTATAATCAACCTGTGAAACTATGTTAGTTCCTGGTACACAACATACTGCTTCAGTATTTCTATGCATTTCAAAATAATTACCATGGTAAGTCTAGCGGTCATCTGTCACCATTCAAAATACAAAGTTACTGACTATATTCACCATACTGTACATTTCATACCAGTGAATCATGTATTTTTTAATCTGAAATTTTAATCTCTCTCACCTATGTCTCTCCTCCCTCCATCCTTTCTCCTCTGGAGAGTTTCTCCTCTGCTATCCATGACTCTGTTTCTGTTTTGTTATGTTTGTTCATTTGCTTTGTTTTTTAGATTCCACACATAAGTGAAATCGTACAGTATTTGCCTTTCTCTGATTTATTTCCTTCATAATAATACCCTCTAGGTCCAAACATGTTTTTGCAAATGACAAGATTTTATCCTTTTTTATGGCTGAGTAGTACTGCATGATATATATATATATAATACATGTATATTATATAGAGTATTCCATATATATTTATATAGCAAATAAAAGCACACATGAAGTCAGGTGCATGCATACAGCTTAACAGCTGTGTGTTACTAAGTTGTTCTTCCAGAAGAACAGCATAAATATCCTTGAGTTGAAAACAGAACTTTTCAAGTGCTACTGAAATTCAGCAGAGAATTAAACTTGAGTGCTCACTTCATCACTTTAGCAATATTCTAACCTGTATTGGCAAAAGATATACTTTTAATTTTTAAAAGAACAATAAAGTCAAGAGAAACTGAGATATAGATACAGATAGAGAGCTCACATCTGCCTTATCCATTCATCTACTGACTGGATTGACTGGCATTTACATTGCTCCTATATCCTGGCTGTCACAAGCAGTGTTGCCATGAATATAGGGGTGCATATATCTTCTCAAAGTAGCTAAATGCTTAGGAGTGTAATTGCTGGCTTGGATGGTAGTTCTATCACTAATTTTTGAGGACTCTCCATAATGTTTTTCATATTGGCTGCACAAATTTACATTGCCACCAACCGAGTATTAAGAGTTCCCATGTCCCCACATCCGTACCAACACTATTTATTTGTTGTCTTTTTGAGGACAGCCATTCTGACAGGTGTGAGGTGATAACTTCACTGTGGTTTTTGACTTGCACTTTCCTGATGATGAGTGATGGTGAGCATCTTCTCACGTTCCTGCAGGCCATCTGTATGTCCTCTTTGGAAAAAATGTAAGGTCCTGCATATTTTTTAATAGGTTTTTTTTTTTTAAGTCAAGCTGCATGAGTTATTTTGGTTTTTTTTTTTTGCATAAGTTCTTTATATATGTTGGATACTAACCCCTTGTTGGACACACCGTTCGTAAATACATTATCTCATTTAGTAGGTGGCCTTTTCATTTTGTTGATCATTTCTTCCACTGTGCAAACGTTTTTTAGTTTGATATAGTCCCATTTGTTTATTTTTATTCTCATTTCCCTTGCCTGAGGAGGCAGTGCCAAAAAAAGAGAAAATTCCTAAAACCGGTGTCAAAGAGTATACTGCCTATGTCTTCTAGAAACTTTATGGTCTCAGGTCTTACATTAAAGTCTTTATTTAATCCATTTTGAATTTACTTTTGTATATAGTATAAAAGGAGTCCAATTTGATTCTTTTGTGTGTAGCTATCTACTTTTCTCAACACCGTTTATAGAAGAGGCTGTCTTTTAACCATTGTATATTCTTGCCTCCTTTGTTGCAAGATTAACTATCCTTATAAGTTTGGGCTTATTTCAGTGCTGTCTATTCTGTTCCATTGATCTATGTGTCTCTGTTTTTGTGCCAGTACCACACTGTTTTGATTACTATAGCTTTGTAGTAGAATTTGAAATCGGGAAGATTGCTACCTCCTCTTTTTTCTTCTTACTAAGACTGTGTTGGCTGTTTGCAGTCTTTTGTGTTTCCATACACATTTTAGAAGTACTTGTTCTAGGAGGGAGGGTATAGCTCAAGTGGTAGAGGGCATGCTTAGCATGCAGGAGGTCCTGGGTTCAATCCCCAGTACCTCCTCTAAGAATAAATAAATAAACCTAATTACCTCCACCACCAAAAAAATTACTTGTTTTAGTTCTGTGAAAAATGTAATTGGTATCTTGATAGGGACTGCATTGAATCTCTAGATTGTTGTACATGTCCTGATCTTGGAGAACTGGCCTTCTGTCACAAATGCCCAGGGGGCTTTAGCACATGCCCCGCTGAAGCAGAACTACATTCCCTAGGAGTGCCCCTCTGTGGGCTGCATGGGTCCTACTGCTGTGGTGGGGTGACAACTGTAAACATGCTGGTAGGTATGGTTGGCCCCCTGTGTGCATGGTTGAAGTCCCTGCCTTGTGTGAAGGATACTGGTCGTTGGTGGGTGAGGCTGGGTCCTGGCATGCTGGTTGCTTGGCCAGAGGAGGTCTTGGTGCTGGCTCACTGGTGGATGGAGCTTAGTCCCAGCATGGTTGGCTGCAGGCCCAGGGGTCCCAGAACTAGTGTGCTGCTGTTCATGGGCAGGACCATGGCCTGGAGGCCCCAGGGTTGGTGTTGCCCTGCTGGTGGGGATCCCAGTTCCTGACACGGCTGGCTGTGGGGTCTGCTGTGCCCAGGAAGTGGTGATGGTCCACTTGTGCATGGGTCCAGATCCCAGAGCAGCTGGCTGAGGTGCTCAAGGTGTCCCGGAGCTGGTGCTGGCTGATGTAGGATGGAGCTGTTTCCCACCCACTAGTGGGTAATGTCATGCCCTAGGGCTAGTGCCAGCCCACTGATGGGTGGACTGGGTCCTGGGTTCTATGGCTTGGGACCTGAGGATGCTGGTGCTGGTGGGTGGGGCAAGGACCACAGTGGGTGCCAGGGCTGGTGCTCACCTAACTGTTGTGCAGGGCCAGGCAAACCTGAGGAGTTTAGGTGTCTTTTTTCCTAACGTGTAACTTTTTTGAATATTTCATGATTATGGTCCTATAGCTTTCGTTGTGGAAAGTTTTTTATAATTGTAGTTTTTGGTTAGTTGTTTTGGCTCTTTATTGATTTGATTCATCTACTAGACATACGCAATTTCTTATTTTTTGTGTCAGTTTTGGTACAGTGGTTTTTATAACATGGGGAATTTCAACCTCTATTGTCTAATTATTAGTTTCAGGGTGAAGCCCAGTGTCTGCCAAGGGCAGGAGGGAGGAAAGTGCCCTGGAGACCTTAGTGCAACCTTTTCACCCTGGTCTTGCCTCTGAGACCGACCCTCACATGGGCACCTCCTTGCCAGGCATCCAGGCTCTGCTGGCCTCAGGAAAGGCCCCAGAACAAGACCAGGACAGGCCCAGGGCTCTGCATGGTCCTGAGGAGGTGGGGGGGGCACTTCCCACTTCCCAAGGTCCTCTAACCCCTAACCCTAAAACATGTTCACTAACTGTCCTGACATTTTGTGCAGAATTTGGATGAAGGTGTGAGTCTGAAGAGAGCTCTTCACCTGGTGATGGATTATGTGGATAAGAGTGGGGAAAAAGATGGGTTGTGGAGGCCAGTTATTTACATCAATCACCATTTGGGGGAACGATAAATCCTAAGGTTGACGTGACTCTGGGAGACTGGGGTGCTCACTGTGTGTGTGTTGAGGGGAGAAAGTGGGTGATGTCTGAGATCCCAGAATTGGGGTAAATGAGAGAGTGAAGTGTTCATGAATTATGGGATTGAAGTAAGCAATTAGGGAAACTAACAAGTTACTAGAAAGTTTGATGAAAAACAGGATGTTTACATAGCTTCAAAGCAACACCTGCTAAAATACTTACACAAAGAATAAAAGAATAACTTTATGGTGGAGAAGTTTGGCTGGCAAAATCCGAACCAGGTGGTCGAGACGAACACCACGGGAGATGAGGTGAGCAAAACCATGTGCTGCTGGGAGGACACGGCGAGGACCCAGCAGCATTCCCAGGGTATCCTTTCTAAAAATGTACACCCCAAGTTCCAGGGCAACGTCAGACATGGCACTTGGGGGGTGTTCTACAGAGTAACTGGCTTGTAGTCCTCCAGTATCAAGGTCATGGGAGCCCCGGAAAAACCAGGGACTGCTCCAGGCTGAAGGGTACTGAAAGAGATGTCAGGTAAACGTAGCCCATGTTATGAGGCAGAGTTGGATTCTTTCACAATTCAGGGCATTCTTGGGACAACTAACAACTTTCATAGGCGCTGGCAACTAGGAGGGGGCAAAGCATTGAGGTCCTGATTTTGATGAATTCCAGCCTGCGGCTGTGAGGGCAGAGTTCCATACCCGATAAACACGTGCAAGTCCCAAGAATGGTGGGGCACCAGCTAAGTGGCTCATTCTTATATGGTTCAAGGACAGAAATCTCTGTATCCTGTGTTCAACATTTTGTAAGTTTTCGACTGGTTCAAAATAAAAGCATGTTTTAAAATGGAAAGACCTGAGCTGGAGGGAACCTAGCCTGGGAGCAGCTGTCCAAACGGACCGCCCGTCGCTCCTGAGGGAAGTGGGGTGATGGTGAGGTGGGAAGCGCCATAAAAAATACCAGCAGGACCCCCACTGCGTTCTCCAACTCTCTGAGTGCTGCTTGGTCTCTCGCCCGGATCCAGAAGGCTGTCACAACTGAGCTGTAACACCGAGCTGTAACGCATTTTTCTGCAACAACGGGAAGGGTGCAGCCAAGGGCCCTTGGGCGGGAGACTGAGCACAGGCGGTCTCCGCTGAGACACCCCCTCCCTGGGAAGCTCCCGTGTCTTCCAGGCATCCAGGTTTCTCAGAGGCTCCACACCTCACCCCACCCCCCCCCCCGACCACTGCAAGTGCCCCTGGCTCCCCAGCTTCCCTGCCCCGTCCTGTGAGCCCTGAGGGCACAGATGTGGCTTTGCCCCCTGCTGTATCTCATCTGTGGCCCCCAACAAGGGGGAGGCCAGGTCAGGGGCCCCTTCCTGGAGGTGGCTGTCCTGGGCGTCAAAGTCACCAGGCAGAGAGGGTCAGCGGCACCAGGGTCTGTGCGCCTGGCCCCGCTGCTTCCTCCTCCAGGGCGGTTTCTTGTTCCCAGGAGGAACCAGGTAAAGGGCAGCCTGCAGAGATGCCCCCTGGACGCTGCTTGTGAAACAGAGGTGCTGGAAATGATCCGAACGCCCATCCGTCTGGGACCAATGCATTGACTGTGCACTCGTCTGTGAAAGGCCGGCCGGGCATGAGAGGGCCAGACGTCCAGGACACACTTGAGTGAATGAGAATGAGGGAGTTCAGAACATCAAACTTTTAATTGAACAGAACATTGGTGCAGCAAACACAGTGAATCCCAGGCTGAGGGGAAGGGGCCCGTCCCACCCTAGCTGGCTCTCCCCAAGCACTCGAGCCTCTGAGGAAGCCCCGGGCACAGCCATATCCAACGCAGCCCACACTGCACTCACCAAGTCAGGGAGGCCTTGTCACAGGACAGGACAGGCGAGAGGGTGGCCAGCAGTGCCACCTCCCTCTCTGGAGAAGGGCTTCACTGCCCAGCCCTGCCCAGGAGCCTAGCTGCAGCCAGCTGCTGCCTGAGAACAGACCCACCTTGACTTCTGACCTCAGCTGCTGCCTCCAGTATAGGGAGTTGCCAACCAAACTTTTCCAACATGGCAGCGGGCTCAGCTGCCCTCAGTGCTTCTCAGCAGGACCCCAGGGGACTCTGGGGACCTCCCTCCAGTGGGGACAAGGCTCTGAACTTGTGTTGCTGGATGTCCACACATGCTCCCCCTGGGGCACCGGCCGGGCTCCTGAAGGGCAGCTCAGCCCAGGCCGCCCCTTGAATGCTCAAGGGGCATCCTGGCTCCCCAGCAGGCGTCACTGGAGGCCTGGCCATCAGGACACAGCACCTGGAAGGCCAACAAAGCGTCACACATGGAGGGACCCTCTGCCACCTCTGCCATCCCATTGGGCACCCTGGACCCTAGGATCCAGCCTCTCTGGACTCAGTGAGAAACACTGTGTCCAGTCCTCGTTCCACTGAAGTTCAGCCTCAAGACACCACTTTCCCGTGGTCACCTCTGCCCGTTTCATTCACACTAAAGGCACGAGCTGAGGATGCAGGAGGGAGGAGGGAAACCACGGAACCTCAT